GTGATAAAATTGTAAGGCATGAAATGATCAGGAAGAAAAACGAAGGGAAGGAGGGCTACGGACGAAAGCGGGTGGGTAACCTTGGGATTGAACTGCAACGTAGACGGGTTAGACTAGGAGTTTCAAGTACGAATATCGGCAGAACTTACCACTAGTTACAACTTCGTCAATAGGTTTCCGCAGCTCATGCGACAAGTAACCAAGAGTAGAGAAAACAGCAAGGCCACCAAAAATGCTCATTACAATTATGCCCAACACTACAATCCACGAGTCCTGGAATAGTCGATGATCTGCTTTCTCGAAGTGATCTATTCAGAAACGACTACCAACCCTATAGCAGTTGTTGCTCCTGCGGTTGTATGACGCCATTGTCAAAATTCCACCATAGCCGACTTCCATTGCGTAGCATGTTTGCACAAGAGCAGCTATCCACGTCTAAATCATCGGTTATCTTTGGAAAAGAATATGCAATTTACATTTTCTGGGTATGGGTCAGGAAGCGAGGCAAGGTGTCGCATCGTGTCAGGCGCGGCAACTCATTATGGCGTAGGTTCTGCGCGCGCAGGGGAGATGAGTCACCACACCGCTTGTGCGGTGATAACGATAACCAGTAGGCCGGTGTCATACTTTGCGAATCGAGCGATTCGCCGGTTTGCTATTAGCGCATCGCTCGATTCGCAAAGTTCAGCACCATTCGTAGCCGGGAGGTGTAGCGAGATGACATATCGCGCACGACAAATCGAGACAGTTGGTGCAAGTTGTTACATTTGTGGGCGAGGCGACATTCTGAATTAGCCATAGATATTTTCTTTGTGCTGTTCGCAGCGTCCCCTAGCGTAAACCGCTACCTGACTCTAGCCTGCCTCCCTAAAACCAACCTCCATTTCAAGGTTGGGTCAAGGTCAGCTTATCGAGCTGAGGTTAAATCAGGCCTAGGGGTCAACTGGAAGTCATGTCAAGGCAATTGAGTACAGTGCACGCGATCACAATACACCTGATTTGAACGATTCACTAACTCGGTGCTAAATTTTTTGGGCACAGTATGCAGTCCATTTCACCATCCCATTTCTAATGCAATGCTTTTAGGATACGCCATGCATTCAGGAGCTTTTCCGCCGTTGTCTTAGATGGTATGACCAGCCGCGGACGGACTCTGTTTGATTCTCTAATTTCTCTCTTTTTCGACCTCGGCATGTTAGCTGCAAGTTATGCAAGAGCGTTAGTCAGTTGCAAATGACTAACGCTCTTGTGTGGCAGCGGATCTCTCCGCTCAGAAGGGTGGAACCGTCGGCCTCTGAAGACGACGATTCAGTCGAAACGTTAGGCCATTGAATAAATGCCACTGAGATACTGAAGAAGCTTAATGTTCATCCACCATGGGTTCTTGAACAGTCAGGAATGAATGGGCTCAATAGCTCAGAAGAGATCTGACCGTACGGGGAACGTAAGTGCTCTTTCACCCGCGAATTTAGCTCTGCAATGGTAAAACTAACACGTACATCCTTACGTGGGTGTTTGCACCTACCTCACGTTTGAGCAGCTTCGTCATGTCCGGTTTTCCAAGAAAATGATAAACTCCTACACCAGCACCCTTCAACGTGATTCCACGAATAAACAGAGCGATAATTATCAGGTAGGGAGTTGTCGATGTCACCTGCAGCAGTATGGTGTTTATTGAAATGCTTGCCGAATGTACAAGGGTGCTCGAAAATTATGAAAGTATAACTAACCGTTCTAAAGAATTGCATCGATTATTCATATAGTACGCTTTCAAGTCTACACATATCGCTTATTTTTATTCCAGTTGCAACTGACTAGTTACGTATGTGCGGGATTAAAGGCAGCGATCACAGTGGCTGGAGGGCGGTGCGGTTTTGATGACATCACTGAAGAAGTCATCACCTGGCAATACAGGCACTATACACGATGGGGCTTGCGAGCAGGAACCGCCACATTGCTCCCCTGCACCGGTAACATTCAGGACGTCATGCCGGACTCGCCACCACCCAGCCATCGCGATCGTTGCCTTGAATTTACTGAGCTGCTGAGCAGTTACGTATTTGGGTGATTTTACTACCCTGCATTCTTACTGGGACATATCGCCGACTATCTCCCTATGATATTAAATGTTCTCCCAAAACTATGATATTTCGCATGCACAGAAGCAGATGTGTAACGAGATGAATCGGCTGAAGGTGTTAAACATTTTCCATTAGGGACTGGACAAGGCCCCAAACAATGCAGAACCGATCATTCAGGCGAGGGAGGACCAGTAGTTTCATAAGTAGTATGACAGAGGTGATCCGTTCCAAAATTACAACAGCGGCTTCCACCCCAAGAACCGCCAAGGAGCTTGACTTCTTACGGTCATCCGTATGATGTACCAACAAGAAGCAGAATTGTCTATCTACAATGTGCCAAAATTCCTCTCCGTTACGGATTCCAGCTGGTAAAAGACTGAAGGATTACGAGTACGAAAGGATTCCGGCTCGCATCACTATCACAATTTTTCACCCTTCTCATTTGACCAAAAAGTTTACACTGTGGATCTCGACCGTCCCAAGGGTCGCATATTGGTCAGAAATGTTATGAATATCCCAAATTGCACATTATTGTGTAATGGTCGGTAAACGGTCTGAGGGTAATGAAGTCAGAAGTCGTCGGTTTTCTATCCATTCCAGCTGTCGATCAACGAAGAACTATACCCAACGAACACATTGGTAGACGCGTTGATGTCTTCCACTCAAAAGAACATACCGTGTTGCTTCCTGCAGGGCACCCACAGAGCCAAACAGTTCCAGGAGTGGCAGCGTAAAGTGCTCGATTTCGCTACCACCGAGGTTGTGTTTTACCAGTCTGTGTTCTACATACAGTTCAAAAGAGTGTCTACCAAGCTCGTTATTCTTGCTCCTTGCTTGGAGTCACCGAAGGTGGCACTGAAGATGTCCTGCTAAGAATAAGGGGCAAAAAAAAGCATTTGCCGTTGATCAATCCCTTGTTTGGGATGCGGCACGCATTCTATAATACTTTCATTTTTACATTCGTAGTGGCACTTGAAGAGGTTTCTGACCCGCACTAATGTCGAAGTAGGGCGTTTCAATATTATAATTGTATGATGTTGTATGTAAATAATGTTAATAAATTTCGTATGATGTAAATAAAAATATGCATAGAATTGTCACCTTTGCTTTTTATTTTTTTTGTTTTGGTTACAAGTATTCGCGGTATATGAGCGCCTTAGTTTGGTTTAACCTTTAGAATGATTCCATAACTCACATATGCAATTTTCCCCATATATTGGTAACCTTTAATCAGTACCGCAAACACAACCAAGTCTAGCACAAGTAGCGCAACAAAAACACTCCAGTTCACGGAACCAATCTCTTCAATTCCTGACGATCGCTTGCTTACAACATTCCTAAAGCTTTTTGTGTAATGAGCCCAGAACTTATGAAATTGTAGCAATATTATGACAAAGGAAGATTTTTCAACTTGTTTGCTTTGACCAGTGGTGGAGGAAGGGTGGATTAATCGCTCAAGAGGTTTGAGAAAGGGAATGGATGGCTCACATGAAGTGGTCTTTGAAGTGATGAGCAAAGCATGTCGACAACAGTATCATCAT